ATCAGGAAGCTGGGCAGCAGGTAATTACATGCTACCCAGCTTCCTGATTGCCAGGGAAGCCGACTCCATGTTGTTTGGCCGGCTTGATCGCGATTGGCCAGGAAACCGGCTTCCCAGCCAATCAGCATCGAGCCAGCCAATCAGGAAACCGGGCGGTGAATAATGGCCTGATTGGCCGGGAAGCCAGCTTCCCATCCAAACATGAAACCGGGGTGGGTCATTAGTCGCTGCCCCGCTTCCTGATTGCACGGGAATCTGGCTCCATGTTCCACTACGACACTGTCGGTCAGAGGAAATCTTCCGCTGACCAGAAGTTCCAGTATTGGGGAAGGTATCAGAGCATTTGGGCGAGTACAAGTACTTGCCCAAATATTCTGTATTGGTGCATCCCTAATCAAAACTTTATTTGACTGTGCTAAATAGTGCTTCTCATTGGTCAGCGTGGTCACCTGACCACGCTGACCAATGAGTGCTTGCAATTTGCCAGCAAAATTCAAAATGCATAGGGCTGGACTGCACAGGCGGAGGGTAAGGACTGTTCAGGGTTCTGGGAGAGGCCAAGCCAGATTTGATTGGGTAATTCCATTTTCCCATATTACTTGGCAAAATGAGCTTGTTCTTTGAGAACTATGAGGTGAGTGATTTTCACTCAGCCTCATAGTTCGAGCTGATGTGCGACAATGAAACTGTCACAGGTCGGCTCTATAGATCAGGAAGTGAGGCAACACATACCGTCGCTCGCTCACTTCTTGATCCTGTCCCTGCAGAAAGCCGTAACTGTCACTCACGGCTGCCTGCAGGGATTCTCCCCCTCCAGCACTGACTAGAGGAACGAACGGGGGAGGGGGCAGGTACAGCTGGCTCTGCCTATAGATAGGCAGAGCCAGCTGTCAATCATGCAGCTGGGTGGATCTCGACAGTAATGTCAGGATCCGTGTCGGCTGCAGCGGTCTCAGTATATAGTGAGCTGTAGCTCGCGGTATACTGAGCTCCCCTAAGGGTCACGGGAGGACATAAACTAGCATTCTCCCGTGACCCTTAGGGGAACTATGGGGAAAATCACTGACCGCATAGTTCTCCTTTAATGCACATTGTGCGTGAACGAGAGTTCTGCTGCTTGGCTATCACAATATGGCACACAATGGCGGCAGCACTGTGCAATGTCCTATGCATGCATTTATTTGCATGCAGATGATGTGGCAGCGGGGTTGGTTTTAGTTTTTTTTTACTTAATCACTTTAATTTTTATAACTATTTTTTTAATTTATTTTTTCTCCACTTAATTTTATTCCTATCACATAGGGCTTATAAACTCCTTTGTGATAGTTTGCAGGTAACAGGTTCTGTGCAGTTCCCGACGGCTGAGACAGGTGGCGCTGTGATCACAACGCCACGGTCTCAGTGATTATTATTATTATACAGGATTTATATAGCGCCAACAGTTTGCACAGCGCTTTACAATATAAGGAAGACATTACAATCACAATACATACCCACACAAGGGAAGACCGGAAACCATCGCCAGGATCCTTTACCCTACCATTCAGGATCCACGATCTGTTGCCCTGTGTCCTTCAATGAACGGGAGAGAAATGGCGGAGCCCCACAAAGCACACCGCATTACCTTCTCCCGAGGTGTGGCCCTGCAGTCTCAGGATTTCTATGACGCTGCAAGGAATACTTTCCAGTACAAGGTGTACATTAGAGGGTAAAGTGCAGCCAAAAATCCAAAAGAAAAAAGTTGGAACAGCCAGGCTGTCTAAATAAGATACTGCCAGGATCCATCCCCAGTCCCTGGGGAGCCAGATCCTGTGTGTGAGAGAGATATGACCATGGACTCTCTCTCTCTCTCTCATGCATGCCCCTCCTTGAAGATACACAGATCTGGCAGAAAAGCTTGGCCCGGAAATAAAAACAAATTTGTCAATGCAGGAAGCACATCTTAGGGTGTGTTGGCTTCTGCTGGCAAGGGCTTATCCTCTGAGGCCTATACTTATGCCGAAAAAAGGAAGGGCTCAGAGCCTGCCACCCAAGACCAAGCTGCACCCCCCTGGAGAGAATCCCACTGGGAGGTGCATAAATTAAGCCAAGTACCCTTTGCCCCATTGGGGAGGGGGGGGGGGGGGGGGGGGGGACTTGTCAACTGTAGACCCGCCTACCTTGGAGCTGGCGCTTTGAACCCCCAGAATGGGAGAAGCAGCCTGTGATGAAGAGTCCAACTGTGTGCACACCCTTGCCTTTTGGACTCACGCTCCTGCCCCACTCCTGGCTCCCCTGCTTGCCGGTGTGGATCGCCGACAAGACACAGTATTCGTGTCCTGCTGGGACCCAGCTCTGCTGCCGCCAGAGAGCCCAATGGGTCATCCGTCAATTCCTCTAGCAGGACACTCCGGGGAACTCCATCTGGAGCCACTACACCACAAGGATAGTTGCCATCTCCTTCAATTATGGAGGGAAACCTCTGGGCAAACCGTTTTTGTAAGGACTCTGGGGGAACCAGTGCATGAGGCTCGCCAGGTCCACTGTCCTGCGAGTGAGAGCCGCATGCCTCAGGAGGCCTGTGCTATATAGCACGATAGGCCTGGAGTAAAATAACAAACATTACAATGCTCCTGTTCAGCCGCAGGAAACACAAAATACTGAAGTGGTTAGGTGGGACCGCCCTTTTTATTCTAATTGTGGATGTTTCTTGTTTCAGGTGGGAGGATCCCATCTCTCAGATGCTACCCTGGACGATGACTGAGGAAAAAAGTTTTGGCTGCCGTTTTATTTTAACTGCTTAATGATTACATAATGTGCTTCTACCACCTCTGTTCACGGAAGATGTTTTGGAGCATTTTTCAAAAGCCTGTAGATGACTGGAGACCATAGAGGAAGAATCGCTTCTTGTCAAGAGGTGCTTCTCATTGGTCAGAGAGCAGTCACCTGACCGAGCTGACCAATAAGTGCCATTTGTGAACAAAATTCAAAGTACACAGCACAGGGCTGCGCTGCCATGTACTTGGAACGGATAGTACAATGGCACTGAAGGAGGGGAAGGAACGTTTGCCCAAAGGCACCCCCTTTTACTAAAATCACATCAGCATGCAGCTCTGCATGCTGATTTAAAGTCATCTTACATTCATTAGGTAAACTTATTTTTCATATACCTACAAATAGAGTTCATCTACTCCCTGGTCCAGTTCTGGCACAAATGATCTATGTGCCAAAGTGTTGAATCTTGGGAAGGTTACATCAGCAGAGCATTGTTGGGAAATCTCATGAGATTGGGAAAGGCATTTTCCTCCCCTGAGATGATGTGCATGGTCACATGTCCTAGTCACATGTGCCAGAGTTCAAGGAAGTAAAGGAAGATCTAGTAATCTGCCCTTAGTTATCATGGCCACTGTCAGAAGACTGGGAAAGAAATAAGGTATGCAAAGACTGCAAATATTAGAAGTATGTGTTTGTAGATTGTCATTACTAAACATTTCTAAAAGGTGTTTGTTATTTTAAAGATATGAGTAAAGGTCCACTTTAAACCTTAAAAATTCAGTCTAGTACCTTAACTATTAATAAAAATATAGCTTGTGTATCACTCTGCTGTAGATCCTCAAATTATCTCTGAATTCGTGCTGACACTGTCCTTCCTTCCTTACACAAATAAGATACATTGGGGAGAATTTATCAAAACTGGAGCAAACAGAATCTGGAGCAGTTGCCCATGGCAACCAATCAGCATCTCTCTTCAGGTTTGCTCAGGTAAGATTTGAAAATGAGACAGAGAAGCTGATTGGCTGCAGTGCAAATCTACTCCAGATTTTGTCTGCTCCAGTTTTGATTCCCAGCCGCCCGGTAGAGAAACACTTTCTCCTGGAAAGGTTTACTCTGCTCGATCGAGCAGAGTAAACGTTTCCCAGCTCTGTTTTTTTTTTTCTGACATCGGAGCCGCCAGCCGCCGTCCGTCAGAAAAAAAAAACAGCATAGGAATGCATAGCTAGATTCCTATTGGCTATTTCACTTGGATCGAGCAGAGTAAACCTTTCCAGGAGAAAGTGTTTCTCTCCTGGGCGGCTGGGAGCCGCTAATAGCGAACGGCAGCAAAATTACAGCGATGAAGGAGCAAAGAAAATAATTTTACTGTTAGGGGTCGCCACAACTACTGTTGGGGTCGCGGCACTAGAAAGGTTAAGAACCGCTGGCCTATGTGAACCTAGCCTAACAGTGCTGTATTAAAAATTGGGGTTGAACCAGTTTTACCACCCTCGATCACCCAGCTACATATTAGCATGGCAACTGCTTGGAAGTCCACATTAACTGACCCGAAATGGTTGGTGGTGCAGCAATTTAACTCGGCATGTCGTGTTTAGTAGGTGGCACTGCCTGCCAGATGTACCCGTTGTACTCAATGGGACCCCGACGTAACTGCATGCCAACCGCTTAGTACATGGCTGCACTGCAGTATCTGGGAGGACAAAATCAAAAGGCATTCAGGAGGCAGCAGTATTACAATCTGGCAAGTCACCCCAGAATGCTTTTTAGGAGGCAGTGAAAGTCCATTCACACTGGATCCATTGCGTTTGCGATACGTCTTTCAACATATGCTAACATAAGGGCACCGAAAAATTAATTGGTGTCAATGGGGCTAGATCACTTAGCTCCATTGCTTTGCATTACATTGTGCTGGGGGGAAAAAAGTAGAACATGCACTTTTTTTCAGCGCAACATAAAACAGATCCGGTGTGAACTAGCCCCATTAACGTCTTAGTGTCCTTCCGTTAGCATCCGTTGAAAAACTTTATCGCAACGCAATAGATCGTAAGAAAATCGTAGGGTAAAATCACAGGCACAGACCATCTGATGACTTGCAATTTCCTTTTAATTTTGGTGTGAATGGGTCCTAAAGCTTTCCATATGTGTAGAAAAGGCCCTAACAGACTTCTAAACTAAACACTCTCCTTTGACAAGATGCTGTTGCTATTTACATCGTTTATGGAACTGGGGAGGTAGCCAAAACATACCTTAGTACCTCCTAACCGCATGACTTCTTCCAGTGTAAAGTCATCATCCACATTTTCTGCCGTATCCCTCTCCACATCGCCAGCACCCAGCTTCTCCACCATGTTTAGCTCCATGAATCCCTGAGCTGCAGTCCAGTACTGACACTTGATGGAGCACAGTCAGAAACTGAGAGCGTGAGCAAAATTCTCAACCGGAAACCTGCGAGTCCTAGCCCTGCTGTAAACACCATCACACCGCCAAGTACAATCTTACGACGGCATTTTTTAAAATAACATCGGTGCTGTATTTCATACATTATATAATTAGATGCATAATATTCAATCGCTTGTAAATGACCGGTTTAAAGACTATTACGGACATGTGTGTCGTTCCTGATAGGACCTACACAGGAAGGCTTGGGAAGGAAGCACGTGTTACAGAGAGTATGCGTTTCTATACCACGCTTCCGGTTTTTTTTCACATTGCCGTGTAAGACCCTCTAACTTCAAATGAACGATGAACGCTTATTTCAGATTGAAACATTTTGGAAGGACTGCAAATCAGCTTCGTTCCGGTAAGCAATAAAACGGCTTTGGGTTCCTTCTTTCTGGACACATTTTTTATTTGTTAATAGCTTAAAGCTCCATTTCACAATACTAAATAGGAAGAATTCTATTATTTTCAATGGTGCCTGTTCACACTGGAATGTTGTGTCACTTGTAGTAGTACATGAGCTTCTTTTATCTTGCATTCACATCTAAGAACATGAAATATGTGTGTTTTCAAGCGCAAAAAAAGTTGTGCAATTTTGAGAACAGATCTATACACAATGTTGTGAGTGGGCACACGCATGTAAAATGCACATAAAAATTTGCAAAAATACAGCAAACACACATTTTGAGCTTTTCCATTGAACTCTATGGCTTGGTGCAAACCACAATAGGCAATGCATTCTAATGGGACTCGTTCACACCTGCGCATTCTAACCTGTGGACAAAAAAGTACATGCACTATTTTATAGGTGTCTATTAAAATGTGCGCACAAAAACGTCCTAAATTGCAAACGCTCAGGAGTGAATGGGGCCAAAAAGCGCAGAATTTGCCAAAAAGAAGCTCATGTACTTCAGGTGACGGCCATTTTGCTTCAAGTGACAAAACGCTCAGATGTGAACATGACCATAGAAATAAATGTGTGGGATTTGGGTGGGTTTTTTTATCTGGCAAAAAAAGCGCTATACAACGCTCAGTGTGAATGAGGGAATAAAGTGACATTAAGGGCAGAAGTTACTGCTAATGTAAGGACTTACCTTAAATGATGCCTCTTAATCCTTTCAACTTCTTTCCTGTAGTTTTTAGCTGTCCCTCCAGCGCTGGTGTGGGTCTCCGATCCAACGCTGACTCCTCTCCTCTGATGTCCCACGGAATCTATGCGGGTGCACACTACTCCATAGACCTAACTTGTGTCTCTCCTCATCTCCTGGCCGAACATCTGAACTGCACATGCGCCCACCCCAAGATCCTTTAGGCCGCCCGAGAAATTTTCAGATGTTCGGTTTTGCATATATCTACTGCTTGCTAGCAGTAGATATATGCGAAAACCAATGAGGGTTTAATAACCCTTTAAGGCAGAATTGCGTATTGTTAGCCCCGTTGACGAGCATTATTGCCCCTAACAGCCATTTGCTTCTCCTAGTAAACTAACATTCTATTGGATAAAACAGAAACGCTCAAGCCTGAAAAATATTCAACAGAAACGCTTTAGGCCTTGTTCACACCAAATGCAGACCAGATCCGGTCAGGTTTCTGCACACGCAGTGTAGTGGGTTGTGCCGCGTTTTTGATGCGTTTAGGGCCGGTTTTGGTTAAAAAAACAAATTTTTTTTTTTTAAGTTTAACATGGACTTTCATGCACTTGCATGCGTTTTTGCTGCGTTTAAGATGCGTTTTTGATGCGTTCCAGATCCAGAGCAGGTAAAATAGGGCTTGCCGCATTTTTTTCATGCATGCTGGGGCTGCAGAAAAAGAAATTGAGGACATATGTCCTCAATTTCTTTTTCTATTTCAAAAGGGAAATGTCAGGGGTCTAATTCTAATTTCGCCGCAGCCCCCTACATAACAGTTTAAATAACAGACACCCTAAACTGGATTGTCATGTGGAAAGGGACAAATAGTAACTCACAGTTGAGATGCGAGCCTATGTGCCCTGGTGTCTCTCACAGGATGCTCTCCCGGATCTGTCCAATCCGATGTCCACAGCTGTCAGATGAGGTGAGAGTCGGTGTCAGCCCGGGCTGGAGTGGGAGGACGAAGTGTCAGCCGGTGTCACAAGCTCAGCTGGCCAGGCTGAGCTGCGGCAGCTGAGACAGAAAAACAGTGTGCCGCGATCGGCTCCGTGACCCCGGACTCTGTGCGTGTTATTCCAGTGTCAGATGTGACTGTCAGCGGGGTACACAGAGATAGGACAGTGCGGGATCTGTTAGGGGGGGTTTTTGGATCTTGATGCCTGCAGGATACGGCTACGCGTTTCGAGGAGGTTTCCTCTTTATCAAGCCACAGAGTGGTGCTAACCGCGGGAAGCTGGTTCTCCACTTTAAAACTGACAGGGGGGAGGAGTAAACGATCAGTTCATCATGTCATAGGCTACTGCTAAAACGGTGGGAGGGGCTTGTGTTTTGGATTGATCGAGGAGGATGGACTCTCGTCACAAGTCTCTATCAAATTTCTAAGACATGTATCCTCGTCATTTTGTCAGCATCGCATGTTTGGAGGAAAGATGTGTGTCGGGGTAGTATGGCCCATCTTGAAAGCTGGCATATTTCTCACTCACTCAGAGGGCTCAAAAGGAAGTTTAAGTGCATTCTTGGAGATGTAAAAATGTAAAAATCTTTAATATTGACGAAGGATAAAAATAATAATAATAATAATTAAATAAAAGCCTTCTGGACAATTACATCTCCCTGGGGATATAACAAGTTTAATAGAAAATTAAATTCATCCGATTTTATAAAAATTTTTAAAATAGTTTAAAAGGTCAGTGTAAGTGTAACTCTCGGACCTGCGCTGGCCGTACTCGCATTTTGCATCTCAGATGCCTGCAACGTTATTGCTGATCATGACAACATGCTTTGATGAAACATGAAGCGTTGAGAGGGGGGAAAAGAAGGGGAGGGAAACTTTGGGAAAGGAAGGGGGCAAGGAGCCGGATTGTTGGTATGATAGTGCTGATAGCCTATAATCAAATAGGCCTATCTATAAAATAGTGTGGATTTCAAGTTCTTCATTTAGACCCACAGGGGTAAGGGTGTTTAATTTGTATATCCAAAAAGTTTCCCCGCTACATAAGCGACGGAATCTTTCAGATGGCGGTATTTTTGTGGACATATGCTCGATTCCAAACCCCGTCAGATCCTTAATTCTTTTGTGATGTTTATTTGTAAAGTGTCTTGGGACACTATGTTCGAGGTCGCCCTTCTATATGAGTCGTCTATGATCTCCTATTCTGGCCCGCAGGGAACGTATAGTCCGGCCTACATATATCAGGGACAGGTAAGCCCGTATACCACGTGATCATGAGAGCACTTGATAAACTGTTGTGTTTTGTATGGTTTTTTAAGATGGTCAAAGAAGCTGTCCTGTCCATGTGTTATAAACTGACACGTAAGGCATCTAGGTTTCTTACACTGGAAAGTGCCTACCCTGTTGTCAAAAAGGAAATTCATAGGGGAGATGGTGGGTGCCTGAAATGCACGGCTCGGTCCTACTAAGTTCTTTACATTTTTAGCTTTTCTGAAATTGATGGAAGGGTTGCAAGGTAAATTGGGACCCAATCTAGGGTCTTTCTGTAGAATATGCCAGTGTTTATTGATTACCTTTTTGGATGGTTTTAAAGCTGTTGTTGAATGTAGTAATGAATCTGATGTCGTTGGAATCAGTTTGTCCGTCATTCTTCCTGTTTGTCATTGGTGATGGCTCGAGATATTTGGAATAGGCGTCGGTGATAAGTTCTTCAGGGTAGTCCTTCTCTCTAAATTTTTGCAGGAGAAGTTGGCTGGATGTCCTGTAATCGTTGTTTAGGGTACAATTTCTTCTCAGCCTGCAGAATTGACTCCTTGGGATATTGTTTTTCCACCGGGGGTGATGGCAGCTGTTATAATGAAGATAGGAGTTGCCCCCGGTGGGTTTGACATGGTTGTTGGTGACAATTTTCTGGCCTATGGAGTATAACTCCAAGTCCAGAAACACCAATCGTGTGGTGTTAACTTCATGTGTAAAGGAGAGTCCGGACTTGTTGTTGTTACAATGTACCAGAAATTCAGAGAGACTCTCGGGTGGACCATCCCAAATGATGAGAATATCATCAATGTGTCTGCCGTAGTATATACGTTTGTTGGCATAGGGGTTGTTTGTCCAGATATGGAGAGCTTCCCAATGGCCCATCGTTAGATGGCGTAGCTCGGGGCGTAGTTGGCCCCCATGGCCGTCCCCTGCGTCTGGAGATAGAACTTTCCCAAGAAGAAGTAATTGTGTGTTAGTGTGAAATTGGTGCAACTTAAGAGGAACTGGACTTGATTGTAATTAATTGTGGATTGACTGAGAAAGAATTGCAGGGCGTTCAGACCCACTGCATGAGGGATGGAGGTGTAGAGAGAACTTACGTTTAAGGACACCCAACTGTATTTGGGGTCCCAAGAGTATCTTGACAAAATGCTAATGAGGTGACCAGAGTCTTTGATATAGGACGGTAAAGAGAAAACTATGGGTTGCAAGAAGTGGTCTATGTATATGGAAAGACCGCTGGTTAAGCTGTTAGTGCTTGCGATAATGGGGCGTCCTGGGGGGTTGGTGCTGTCCTTGTGAATCTTTGGTAAGTGATAGAAGTATGGCGTGCTGGGATATTGTGGTTGTAAGAAACCTCTTTCTTTTTTATTGATGATGCCTTTGGCGTGGGCTGGGCCTACTAGATCCTCCAGTTCTTTAGAGAAGGCCAATAGAGGGTCTGAGGGGAGGAGTTTATAAGTGGTGGAGTCAGAGAGTAATCTCGTGGCTTCTTGGATGTATGTGGAACGGTCCTGAATTATAATTCCTCCTCCCTTATCGGCTTGTTTGATCAC